AGAACGTGAGGACAAATCAGAATCGAATTTATTTATTACAAGTCGACTATTAATCTGACAACTTTGGCATGTTGATTTCTTAATACGTGATTTTATTATTTTAACAAAATGAAGTGAGTATCAAAAGAAATTTTTTTTTATAATTTATAACATTTTGCAGCCATTATGGATGGATTCCCACCCTGGTGTCGTTTATTTACAAAATTTATTTAAATTTATTATTTTTAAGTCATTTGTACGCGACAAAATGCCGCGTTACATAACATATATATATATATATATATATATATTATTAATTGAACACTAACCTAATAGTGAACTGTAATTACAATCTTATATATTATTAAATTTAATTGTCTCGAATGCCAAATAAAAAGGTTATAAAGACTTCTGATTAAACAAAATTGATTCGATCGTTATAGAAGCATTTTCAATCCCGGACGGGATGCTTGCGTTCGTGCTTGGATTTTCAGTTACATTTTAACGTGAAAGAGAAATTACGATTTCATGCACTTTATCAAATCGTTCGTTCTAATACTGATGAGCTTTAAAATTATTATTATTATTATTATTGTTATAAGCTTTCGAACAGACAATTTTCCCGACATATATATATATATATATATATATATATATGAATCGTCTAATCACTAAACTTCGAAATTTATTATTATTATTTTCAACTAATTTAACACAATGAATGTTCAGTGAACTATAAAGAAAGATCAAAACAGTTTCCAAATTGTACAACTTTTGCATTTATATTGTCTCGTAAATTCTAATTATTATTTTAATGAATTTATTTATAGAGATACAAATTATTGAATTTAAAAACTAAACAGTTGAAGAAGTCATGTTCGGAAAACATTATTTTTAAATTGTCAATAACCTCTTATTTTTTAATTCTAATAAATGGTTCACAGACAGGTCAATCGATGCATTTTTAAATATTTTATAAGCTGCTATTTTAATAGTTTCAAATAAATATGTATAATTATTATTATTATTATTAAACAGAAATTAAAATATCATTTTTTTCAAAATTCTTTGTTTTTAAAAGTTTAATAATTCTCCGGATAAAAAATAAGAGAAAATATTTGCGTCTAAATAAACTTAACAAAAGAAGAAGAACAAGATTCAGTCCAATTTCAGTAAATAAGAATTGCTAAGAATTGGTGCCAATATTAGCCCAGTATTAAAACGAGTTTCGGACCAATTTTGACAAATCTAAATTGTACTGAGAGTCGGTACCAATATGGGCGGATTCTCAAAATAAGACTTAGACCAATTTTGGCAAATTACAATTACTGATAATCGGTGCCAATATTGACCCAGTATTAAAATGAGATTTAACACAATTTTGTCAAATCAAAAGTCCTGGCATTTCGCACTTGGGAATTGTTATAATTTTGTGTATAATATTATTTTAAAATACCCGTGCAGAAATTCGCCAACCTGGCCCTGACCTGGTTGAAACAGGAAACCAGACCGGGGTTAAACCAGGCCCTGGTCGGGCCCCGGTTGTAATCAATATTAATCGGGCTGAAATAGGGCCTTTTCTGTGGCCCCGATCTCTGCACTAGTATTAAATTTACTATAAATATTCAATATTAATTTTTTAAATTGAATATAACAATATATTTGCAGAAATAAATTCTGTAAAAATATTTTCTTCTCTTTATTGCACAATATTTATAAACAAAAGTTGACTTGGTGAAGTACTATATTGTATTATCTATATTGCTTTTTAGAAGCTCATTTAGAACCAAATGAAGAAATAAAAAGAAAAAAAAACCCCTATTAATTATTCCGGTAACTATTCTTTGTGAAATGTTGTACACGTAGTAGTTTTTCTCGGCGGCTCTTGTATAATTGGCACATTTAAAATGGAACTAACGAGATTCTGCAATGAAATTCGATGTAGAAGAAGTTCTAAACGAGCGGAAGCGTCGATGAAATAGTCAGATAAAGAAAATTACTTTAACTGCTCACTACTATTTTAATTCGGCGAGCATTGGGAAAAAAAATTGGTGACAATAATCAGACAAAACTATATTGCCGTTTTGTATATATAGCAAAGTCTTTAATTAATAAGAATATAATTTTTATTAAATTTTTAACATTGATTTTATAAAAAGATGGGCAATATTATTTTCACTTTTATTTTTTTTTCTAGGAAATGTAAAATTTTAATTAATTTTTTTTTAAATTAACTTCTTTTAGTTATAAATTTAAAAATTTGGACCAATAATAAAGTTCTAAAAATCAATTATGTTGGAATTTTTATTTAATAGAATTTTATTAGGTAAAATTTTCATTCAGCCGAATTTTATTTGTTTGAATTATTATTTTGCTGAATTTTCATTAAACCGATTTTCTACAATGCAAAATTTTTATATAACCAAAAATCCACTTTACAGAATTTATATTTGTTTGAATTTTCATTTGTCAAAATTTTTATTTGCTCGAATTTTCATTTAACAAAAATTTACCCCCAGGGTAAAAAAAGATTAACGAAAACTGGTACCCCTGAAAAAACAAACAATTTAAAAATCCACCAGATTCACCTGAAACTTGTTACTCAGGAGTTTATGGGGTCGCTGATTACGAATATGATATCAATTTTTAAAAATTCAAAATGTCGGATCCAATATGGCGACCAAAAAATTTTTTAAATCTACTAGATTCTCCTAAAACTTATCACAAGTATCTCGAATTATACTTTTTTACCTTAGTAAATTGTAAATTAATATTTCATTCATTCAGATTTATTGAAATAAAAATTCAATATCAAAAGAACATTTGATCAATGTGATCCACCTTTTAAAACTATCATTACGAAGTTGTTTTTCAGGGGGATACTAGTATCTATAAATAAGTATAAATTAGGGGTGGGTTCTAAGGGGGTAGTTTTTTCATTAATATCGTTGAAATACTTTTTTATAATTTAGATGCAAGTAGAATTCATAATTTATTTTTAAAAAAAGGAAAAAACACTTTTTTTTATTCACAAAATTTTTTTTATCATCGAAGGGTAGTTATTTTTCAGGGGATTACATTGTTTACGTTCACTATTATTACTTAGTTAACATAAAAAATATTTTTTCATATTTTTCAAATGTACCCAGACAGCACGGAAACTTGCAGCAAGCTTGCGGCAAGCTTGTCTGAGCTAGCGAAATGTCCCACCCAGGGCAAGCTTGCCGTGAAAGCTTGCTGTAAGCTTTTCAGGAAAGGTTGATGCAATCTTGCCATGAAAGATTGCTAAAAGATTGCTGCAAGCATACTAAGAATGATTGCGGCAAGCTTGCCGTGAAAGATTGCTATAAGCTTGCTACGTAAGGTTGCAGGAGAATTTCAACAAGCTTCTGGAAAGGTTGCTGCAAGCTTGCTGCAATTTTAAAAAAATACAATTCAAATTAAAAAAAAATTTATTTGTTTTCTAAATATGAAAATCCTTGTGACGTTTATTATTATTAATTATGTCCTGCTTATTTTCATTTGGAAACTTAACGAGAAAATTTTCGAAACAAGTTTGAGGGGACTGGGAATTGAACCCGGATTCGACAGACACTAACCAAAGACCCTAACCGAGAACCTACTCGACCAACTATCTGAGAATAAAAAAATATTGCTCTTAACCCTCGTTTTTCAACTGTTTTTCAACTGTTTATCAACTCATAAAAACAGTCGAGGGTTAAGAGCAATATTTTTTTATTCTCAGATAGTTGGTCGAGTAGGTTCTCGGTTAGGGTCTTTGGTTAGTGTCTGTCGAACCCGGGTTCAATTCCTAGTCCCCTCAAATTTGTTTCGATAATTTTCTCGTTAAGTTTCCAAATGAAAATAAACAGGACATAATTAATAATAATAAACGTCACAAGAATTTTCAAATTTAGAAAACAAATAAATTTTTTTTTAATTTAAAATGTATTTTTTAAAAATTTCAGCAACCTTTCCAGAAGCTTGTTGAAATTCTCCTGCAACCTTACGTAGCAAGCTTACAGCAATCTTTCACGGCAAGCTTGCCGCAATCTTGTAGCAATCTTTTATGACAAGATTGCAGCAACCTTTTCTGGAAAGCTTACAGAAAGCTTTCCGGGCAAGCTTGCCCTGGGTGGGACATTTCGCTAGCTCAGACAAGCTTGCCGCAAGCTTGCTGCAAGTTTCCGTGCTGTCTGGGTATAGAATCAATGAGAATTATTTTTTAAATTGTTCAAAACTAATATCACTGTATCTAAGAATAGTTATGAAATAGGGATGAGTTCCAAGAGTGGTGTTATCAAAAATATCCATATCAGTGTTAATTAGAAATATTTTTGTTATAATTTAGAAGCACTTAGAATTCAAAAATTTTGATTCATCATTTACAAAAACGTTTATCATCAAGGGGTGGCTATTTGAATTTAAGGGTGGTTTTCAAGGGGTTATTGATCATTGTTTTCAATTTTGAAAAAAAGAATATATATATAAATAATAATAATAAAACACACAGGATCTGAAAAATATTAGATAAAGTATCAGTTTTTTGAGGTAGTAATATACCTTAGGGGTGGTATTAAAGGATGAAACATGTTAACAAAATATATTTTTTTCATATTTAATATTAGAATAATCAAATTTAATAAACATTCTACTTTATTTAATGTAAAGGCAAAAAACTCGGCCATTAAAGAGTTAAATGAAAATTCTAATAATTAATTTTAAGAATTTTGTCATGCATCCCAAAAAATTTTATTTTATTTAAAAAATTTTAATTTCTTTCAATAAAATAAAAAAAATAATAATAAATGTTTTTAAGTTTTTCTTTTCTTAACTTCATTTATTGACATATTTTTTCGCAAACTTTTTCTCTCTTGAATTTTCTCGACTTCCATAATATAATATACTGTAACTTCAATCGAACTCAGTTACACGTAAAAAATCCCGAGGCAGCAGATTTTAAGAGAAGATTTTCTTCTTATAAGTGATTTTAAGCCCTAACCTTTTTTTTTCTTTCTTAGGATGGTTCCGGACAATGGGTCAGCCTTGATTCTGAGTTGGAAATGCGAGAGGGGGAGGTAGTCGGCACCAAATCACCAACTGGTCACACTCTTCTCATCGATTGCCGTTTCGAACAACCTTTTGGTAAGTGATTTCCTTTATACGTATAGAAACAGCTTTTTTTTAGTTTTAAGGTTAAGTTGCGAGTTTATTTCGTTTATGCTATTTTCTCTTGTAATTTTTTTGTTTTTTAAATATATATATAAAATTTTATTCCTTAAAATATTGAATGATAAGTGTCAATTCCAATTTTCATAAATTTGTGAAATTTAATCAAATTTTGTTAATTATTAATAAAATAGGATGTATTTATATTTTTTGAATTGTTATATTATTGCACGATACAATATTATTAAAAAAATTTTTAAAAAATAAAACACTACTTTTTTGGTAGTTTTTTTTTGCTTTATGTGGTTTTTATAAGTTTAAATATTAAAAATTTGTGTTATAAATAAAAAGTAATGATTCTAATTTAAAAAGAAAATGGTGTGGCTATCAAGTACTTATAAAAAAATGATTATTTTTCTAATACGTCCAGAGTTTCATTACATTCATTTCATATCCATATTCATTGGTTTCAATTTATAATTTACATAGTAATTTAATGAAAATTAGTTTATCATGTATTTAAAATAATATTAAGTTACAGTGGAAACTCTCTATAACGAAACTCTTTATAAGATAAAACTCTCCATAACGTAAATATCTGTTCAATTTGGTTGGTTTGTATTAAAATCTGTATATATAGATACTCTCTCTTTAACGATGCAATCACTCACTATAACGAAAGTATAATGTCTCAAAATAAAAATATTTTTTCCCAATTTTGCTTCATTTATTTATTTCTGTGTGCTGTTATTGCTGCCAGACAATTTCTGATGGTATAGGTAGATAGATAAGAATGTATTCGTTACTGTGAAAAATTAATTTAGTCTCTGTTTGAGTTTACTAGAATTCGAATGTGACTAATTGTACATGGCTTGTAAAAGAAAAAGTTTTTCTATAGACGAAAAGGTTTCGGTAATTCATGCAATTGAAAAAGGCGAAAAGAAAAGTGATGTCGGGAAATGTTTTGATCTTAGTGCATCTACTGTGGCGACTATTTGGAAGAATAAAGATAAGATTTTAATTTTTTACAAAAATTCTTTTTATTTCATGAACAAGATTTAAAATTATCTCAAGACATAGACAAAATAGTTCAACAAATCCAAACAACATATTGGCAAAGCAGAAACACTCAATCTAAAATCACAGACTATTATAAATAATTTGTTTTCATGATCACAAAGGGTTAGCTTCTTTTTCTTTAATTCTGTCTATTTTTTTAAAATAAAAATTTAATGTGAAATACTGTTTTTTTTTGCTCACTCGATATAACGAAAACTCCCTATAACGAAACAAAATGCCCGGTCCCTTGAAATTCGTAATAGAGAGTTCACACTGTATTTGATTATAATGATAACTTTTTTCCATTTACATTTTTTTTTAAATATTCAATGCTTTTTCTTAAATCATAGTAATTAATATTCTCTGTTATTGTTAGTCATTTATAATTTACTTGTTCGTTAATAGAAATTAATTTAAAAAAAAACAAAATAGTAAAATTTATTGCATTTTAATTCTTGTAATTTTATTAACAGTAGTAGTAAAATGCTTTTGTTACAATCAGGCAGTCTATAATTTTGAAGACAAAGTAAAAGTATATCGTAGTCAGAAAAAACGTTTTTAATTCTTGTGTAAGTGTAGCAAATGTCAGTCTCTGCCAGACATATATATATATATAATTTTAAATTTCTTTAAATTAAGTGTTAGTATTTGTAAAAAATTTGTTTCAACTAAACAGAAATGTTTTCAAGACTTATTATTTTAGTATCACACTGAAAAAAAATTTATTTTATTCAAATAATCAATATTATCAAATAAATATTTACTTGAACCAAATAATTTTTATTTGATTTAAATAAACTGTTTAAACAAATAATTTCTGTTTTTGAAACAAATACAGTTTATTTAATTCAAATAAAAATTATTTGGTTCAAGTAAATATTTATTTGATAATAGTCAAGTACACGATTATTTGAATCAAATAAATTTTTTGTTTAGTGCAGTAGTAAAAGTATGTTTCAGACAGACAGAAATTTTTAAATTCTCTTAATTTAAGTATTTGTTAATTTATTTTTTAATCACAGACAAAACATTCCAATTTCTTGTAAATTTTTTTTTTTTGCATCAGTAGAAAAAGACAATTTTTCAAATTCTTGTAATTTTAGTATCAGTAGAATAAGTAAATGTCAATCAAGCGTTCTAAATTCTAGCTAATTTTATATAAATGTTATTAGTACCTAAAAGTAGTTATTTTAATTTTAAAATATGTATAATAAACGTCGGTTTAGGTCAGACACAAAGTTCCAAATTTTTATAATTTTAAGATTAGTAGTAAAAGCCCGTGCAGAAATTTTAATACGATTTTTGTCCATTTTCCTATTTCTAATAAGAATATCTTATAGGGAGAATTGTTAGATATTGATAAGGCCCTGGCATTTTTAGTGACGCTTGAATCTTGATAAAAATGGTTCAATTTAAATCTAACGAGAATCCTACAAAAACCCTACGAAAATCTGACTTTCAATATTATTTGTTCTTGTCCAATATGGTAATTTTAACTTTATTATATAATTTATTTGTATATTTTGTCAAGCTTCTTTTTTAAATTATTGTATTTTTATTTACTTTATTTACTTCAATGGACCTAAGCTCTTTCATACAAAATACTTAACAAAAAATAATATTATTAGTAAAAGTATGTAATTGTTAGAAAAAAGTATTATTCGAATTTGTCTGATAAGGAACCCTTTTATATAAGGAGCTTACGAAATACTTCAGAATTCTATTTTTAACCTAAGTAAAAACTATAGTTATTAACTAAGTTATCTTAGACTTAACATTATATGTGTGAAAGTTATGTGAGGGATAAAAGTACAAGCCCCCCATAATATTTAGATATTAGACAGGAAAAATTTTGTATACTTATATATATATATATACTTTCGTAATTTTGAAGACAGAAACTTTTAATTGAATATAGTCTCGAAACTTCTCAGCTTTTTTGGCTCTATGCCAATATACTTTCATGTATACACTTTGCTTCATGTAATCAACAATAAATAAGTTACATCTCTTTGTACGAACGAGAATATCTACTTTTAGAGACTTCAATGCCTGTTTCTATTTTTCATTAACATACAAACCGTCTTGTTGCTTTTTTTTTTATTTTACAAAAACAAGATTAGAGAATTTTCATTATTCTATAATAATTAAAAATATTTTTATTATTGTTATAGTTATTGTTATTATTATTATTGTTGTTAATATTAGTCTTTAAATTTTATATAGGATTTTTAAAAACCTGTTTCAATTAACAATTATAATAAATAATAATTATTGTTATTATTTAATTTTTGTTTATATAAATAATTACTATTAAATAACTATTTTAATTGAGTGTCATTTTTTTCACAACAGTTTTATACTCAGAAATGTATGCGAAATATAAAACAATTTTTATTTTTTCACATAGAATTTTTAATTTTTATTTATTTACTTTGTCAACTTGATCTCAAAAATTCCTTTTTTTTACTTAAGACAGCTATCAGCTTTAATTGTTTATAACTTTTAACATTTTTTTTTTGACACAGAAAAATTGAAGATTTTTTTCCGTCTAATATTTTCAGAAATTTATTTAGAAGTAAAAAAACGATTAAACATTGAAAATTAATGATTATAATATATAATTATAATTATAATATATAAAATAATAATAATTATTATTATTAATATTATATAATAAAAAAATAGTTTTAGTTATTAAAAATAAAAATTTACTAATCTGGTTTTTAAATTTTATAAAATTAGTAATATATTAATTTTTTTTCTTTTGTTCACATACGTGAAAAAATATGTATTAGTAAATAGAAAAACTCTCAACTTAAAGTTTATTTTGTCGAAGAAACACAAGGGAATTCTTTAAAATCAAAGAGATCAGTTTGAAAGTAGGTTGACTGGCGATATTCAAATGGATATACTCAATTCACATGAATTGATACTTTCCTATATTGTACATACATTTTAGTGAACTTATAAATCACAATCCACTTACTCAAACCACAAAATGCATATACATATTAAATTGTATTTCCATTTTCCATATGCAGTTTCATTCTAATATAATTGACATATATATATAAACCACTAGTGCAATTATTTCTCACTTTTTATTTATATTTAAATCTCAAATTCATCTTTTAAAAAAAATATCTTCTCTCTGTCTTTTTTTTTTATATGTTTTTTTTTACATTTTCAAATTAATTGAAAATAGTAAATATTTTAAAAATTCTTTTTCAAATTTGTTAATTAATATTTTCCTAAATTATAAATTAATATTAATTAATGAACTATTTTAATTTTGTTTTTTGGTATTAAATTTATTTAATCAAATTTTGATTACTTAATAGTCACACCTGTTCTGAAATATAATTCAGAACAAAAATCTTGAATGTAAATGTTAGTTTAATGTACGATAAATAATAATAATGTTTATCATTATGTAAGATTACGGTTTATAAAATTGTCGAATTAGGATATTTATATAAAATATATGGAATTTTACTATATGTATATGTGCAATAAACTCATTGTATTTAAAAAGCAAAAAAAAAAAAAAAAAGAAATAGAAAAAAAAGTATTGAAAGACAAAAAATGTTATATGACCAATCAGGAAAGTATGAACAACCAACCGGATGGAAAAACCTGCTAACGAGTGAAATGGCTAGGCAGTTACGAGCAGCTCGGCCCTTGTGTGGCACAGGTACCCTCATCAAGATCATCGAGATCGCCAGATCGCAAGATCATCAACTCTGTCTTCGATTGAATTCCCGGTTGAATATAATCGTAATCGTGGTTCCTCCCTTATCGTGGATTCGTAACGACCCTACTTTTTTTTTTAACATAATGCATTATTTAAATTCATTATATCAAATAAAATAATAATAATAATAATAGTAAATAATTATAGTCAAAAAACAAAATTTTCGCAAAAATTAGTTATTTTAAAAAATTTTCAAATTTAAAAACGGAGGAAGTCGGTGGTATATCATTCATCATATAAATGCATTTAAATAAAATACACGAAGATTTGTTTATATTTGATAAAAGAAACATCTATTTTTTATATATGCCGAAAAAAAATTTTTCAATATAAGCAAAATAATTTATTGTAAAATTAATTTTTTTAGTTTGTAATTAGCACTTGTTACTTCGTATGAAGGGAATCGAATTTCGAAAATTTGCATTCCTATAATATTTTTCAAAATTCCAAATAGCCATATTGAATTTTGTAAAACCAATCACGGTGCGCCAGAAGGAGGTTTAAATAAAAATGAATTGGCACTTAAAAATTCTTTTTGATTATGGTTCTAAGATGAATAAAAAACTTTTCTCAATAGGTTTTAAAATCAGCTTACGTGCCCAATTTAAAACGAATTGAGTTTTAAATATTTAAAAATAGTGTTTTATGAGGGACCAAAATTTATTTAATGTATACTTATATGCGTATACACGGAGAGAAATCTGCTGCGATTTTTGCTTGGATGAGTAAATTACTTTAATTACATGGCACGACACTTGCATTTTTAGCATAAATTCAAGTATTTATTGTAAAAATAGTTTCTAAGCAAAAAACACAAGTCACGGGTGTTAATTTTGCATGAATTTCACATAAAAACTGCAAAGGGGACATGCCATAAAAGTATTAGATCCTCTCTTATAAAATTTGCAAGAATGCCATCTGATTTTCAGGTGGAATTTATACAACACAATCTTACCTCCGTATACACACAGCATTTCACACACACAATCATTGTATGCTGGTGATTCCGAGGAACGGAACGCACAATGCGCACGCTCGTGTTTTACTATGCGTTTTTAACCGCGAAATTTAAAATAATTTTATTTAAAATTTTTTTAAAAATATTTGTTGCCAATAAGTGGTTGTTTATTAAAAAGTAAAATAGAAAAATAATAAATAAAATCGAATAATTTATAATGCATACATTATAAATAATTCGACTTTATTCTCGATTTATTTATTAAATAAAATAAAATTTAATTTATCCATAGATAATTTTCTGAATATATATAATATTTTATTAATATTTAATTAATTTCATATATTAATTAATTAAATTAAAATTATTAATTAATGTAATAAATATGTAAATATATAATATTAATACTATATTGGTGATTATATTTTAATATTTAATATAAAAATAATACTCATACACATAATATAATAACAAATATATAAATACAATGAATAAATATAATTATAAATTTATACAAATGTAATTAATATTAAATTTTTTAATTGTTTTTTATTTTTAATAGATTCTGTTTTTAAAAGAACAAATAACATTTTAGCTAATAAATATTTAAAAATTTTAGTATTTAAAATTTTCTATTTTACTGTTTAATAAACAATCACTTATTGGCAACAAATATTTTTAAAAAATTTTTAAATAAAATTATTTTAAATTTCGCGGTTAAAAACGCATAGTAAAACACGAGCGTGCGCATTGTGTGTTCCGTTCCTCGGAATCACCAGCATACAATGATTGTGTGTGTGAAATGCTGTGTGTATACGGAGGTAAGATTGTGTTGTATAAATTCCACCTGAAAATCAGATGGCATTCTTGCAAATTTTATAAGAGAGGATCTAATACTTTTATGGCATGTCCCCTTTGCAGTTTTTATGTGAAATTCATACAAAATTAACACCCGTGACTTGTGTTTTTTGTTTGATACACTCCATTACATTAAATACATGAATTCATATTTAAATTATTCCAGTCTTAAGCTAAAATTGTATCGAAAAATGACTTATGAAATTAATAAAGACTGCACAAGCAAAAATCGCAGCAGATTTCTCTCCGTGTAGATAAATAGATGTTTTAGATTTGGGTTCATATAAATTTCTTAACAATGAAGTTATTTTCTTGTTTCGTTTTTATATTTATGCATTAAGAGTGTCGAACGGTATCTGAAATTCTTTGGCAAGAAGAGAGCTTTAATTATCGCTCTGAACGTGAAATAGTATTGATTTTAAAATACTTTTTTCTCGAAACACGAACACTTTTAACAAAATCAGCCAAAATTCTCATCTTATAAATTTCCTATATCCAAAAGACTGTACAAATCCATAGAAAAACATGGATGCAAAACAAAAAGAAGAAAAGTAATCTAATAACAGCTGCGACTTTGTGAGCCCTGCATGCTGCTGCCATCTGATGGCGGCAGGAGGTAATGAACCCCTCATTATATTACTTTTCGTTTTGCAATCGTGTTTTTGTATGGATTCGTATAATCTTTAGGATTTAGGAAATTTATATAAGATAAGGATCTCTAGCTGCTTTGGTAAAAAGTGTCCGTCTTTCGAGAAGAAAGTATTTTAAAATCAATGTTTATCATTTTCACGTTTAGTGCCGTTTTTATAGAGCGATAATTAAAGGTCTCTTCTTGCCAAAAAATTTCAGAGATCATTCGACTCTCTTAAATAAATTTTGTCACTCTTAAAATCGTTCTTTTAACAGTATAATTTAATTTTTTAAAATCGGACACAAACACTACAGCAATATAATTATTTATATGTAAAATTGAAAATAAGTAATTATTTTATCATTTATTACAGTATTTATTAGATTAAATAAATTCTGATTCCCCATAAAACACTGTTTTTATATAAAAACTCAATTTTATTTAAATCGGGCACGTAAACTGATTTTAAAAACTATTGAGAAATATTTGTTATTCATCTAAGAATCATAATCAAAAAGAATTTTTAAGTGCCAATTCATTTTTATTTAAACCACCTTCTGGCGCACCGTGCAATATCAAATTGAATTTTTAAAAATTGTCTTTAATATTGAAACTTTTTTTTGGTGATAAAGCAAACTGAATTGAATTTCTTTTAATATTTCTTTATTTTTGAAAATAATTTTTTATCTATACCGTGGAATAAATACATATTCTAAATTTAAGAATACAATCTTAATTTCTATTTAATAATATAACTCATGTAGTTTAGACCGTTGGATATTCTTAAATTGAGAATAGAATAAATTCACATATTTAAACCTCGAATTACAAAATCGTAGTATTAATTAATTCAATTATTGCAGTTAAATAGTTAAAAAAAATCGTTATACTTTTGACTCTGGATCTAATATCACTAGAAATGCGCTTGCACCATGAAAATTTTTCTTTTCTTTTCTCTTCTTTATTTATTTATTTTTCTCTTTGTTTTGAAAATTCATTGCACGTATTTTTCTTCTCTCTCCCTTGACGGAATGGAAGACTGTTCCGCTAACGAGTTTCATCGATCGAATAAAAACTTTTTATTCGCATCTTACGAACGGCAAATTAAGAAAAGAAATTCTATATATAAATATATTACACGAATCGTTGTCTTCTTTTTTTTATTCTTTTCTTTCTTTTTTTTCTCACTTCCGCCTCGTTGCATTTTTTGTAAGTTTAAATCACTTCCGGCAACCTCCTCTTCTATTTCCAGTTACGTATCCACGGTACGAAGATCCACGTTTTAATACGTAACTTAGCGATGCCAATTCCTTCTTGCTCGCCAGCCACTGCACCAAGGATATTGTTTTTGGTTGAGTGCTTTTTGGAGTCACTTGTAAACTTTTTTTTTTAAAAAAAAGTATTTATTTACAAACTCATGGTTACGATCTCGTTACTTTCTTTTCGATTAAAGTTATTTTTCTTATTTTTAGTCTTCGATAGTAGTGTCTTTTAAATTATACACTGTAGATTTAAAAAAAAAAATAAAGGAGAAATTAAATTTTTCTAAACACTAGGGAATAGATTTTTTATATAAAAAAGTTGTATGCTTTTAGTAATTAACTTTAAACATCGAAAAAATAGAAATTGAGATGATCAATATATTGATTATAATAATAATGATAATATTAATAGTAATAATAATAGTAATAGTAATAATAATTGATATTTTTTATCGCAGTGATTTATTTATTTATTATGATAATAATTTCCGGAAACATGCGAACTTGACATTATTATATTCTAAAAATTTTAGACTTATTTATTATTGATTTCAGAGTGGTTCCTTTTCAAGAAGAAACATTCTCTAAGACAAAAAAATTCTTTGATTCCTCTGTCACAAAATGGACAAAAAAAAATTTTTAATTGCGATGACACAATAAATTATATAAGTTTACGAAAAACTCATGAATAAGTTCAAAAATTAATTGTTTAGAATTTTCATTTGACAGAATTTAATTTTAGCCAAATTATCATTTCTTCTGTTATTTATAACAGAAATTCTATTTAACCGAATTTCTATATATAAAATTGTTATTTGAACGAAATTTTCATTTTACAGAAAAAATATTATGAGTGAAAATTTCTGAAACGTCCCACCAAAAACGGAAACAATTTTCTTTTGTAATAAAAATCAATATTTTTGCATAAAAAAATACCATTAAAATCGATCGATAAATTTCTTTGAAATTAATTTTTTTTAAAAAAGGTCAAAAATATTAACCCTTAACGGGTACAATTCAGCGTTTGAACGAAAATGGCACAACGGGTCTGCTGGACCCGACGTATTCAAACGTGTATTGTACCGGTATTAAATATTTTTGCCAGTTAAGGGTTAAATTGTTAATAACAAAAAAATTTTTTTTTTGCAAAATCGTTTTAGGAAGTGTTTGTGCAATATAAAATACTATAAGAATAACAAAATTTCAAAAAAAAATAAATTTTTCAGTTTTATGTGGCACGTTTCAGAAATACTTACTATAATAAAAAATTATTTTCTAGAAAAATTTTCAATTATTCCAATTGACATTCGGCAGAAATCTTAGAATATCAAATTTTTATTTTACAGAACTTTCATTTGTCTAAATAAACATTTGGCAGAAAAATTTGGGCTTAAATTTTAAAATGAACCAACCAAGTTATTACCGAAAGTCATTATTTAATGTTTTATTTAAAAATTGTTTTGTTTTTTTAATATTATATTACGGTAAAAATTATATAAAGTATAAAGAGATAATTTTTTTTGATACACTAAAAAATTGAAAGAGTATATATTGTTGTAAATGTACTCGCGCAGTTATAAATTCTTATTAACAACTTTGTTTTTCAACAAATGTTTACATTTATTCCAAAAAGCACTCAAATGTCAAAATATATGCACTGCATTATTTTTTCGAGTTATTTTACATTCGGTACTTATATATTATACATGTGTGTGATCGCAGAATGGATAGTCCAATATGTTTTATATACGATGTTCGATGTTTATGCTTTTTTTCTCTTGCAATACGTGTATACATATAATGTACAATTTAACTATGCATACAAGCCCAGTGACACGAAAAATTTATTATTAGTAACTTATATATAATATAATATATATATATATATATATATATATATCGGAAAACAATATTTTATTCAAACCAGTTAATAATAAATCATTCACACACAATATTCATTAAATTAAATATAATCGTTTAATATAAAATCGAAATTAAGGAAAACTTGGGAAATATTTTTTAAAATTATACATTGATACTCAAATTATATTTAAATTCTATAATATTTAGTAAATATTATAGTAATGGGCCAGAATTATTTAAGCTGATCAATTAAAATTTGTAAAAAGTAATAAATTTTTAATGTTTAATCGTTATCCTATTTTCTATACTGTAAGCAAAATAAGTTTCTGAAAATATAAGACGAAAAAAATTTTTTTTCAAAAAGTTATAAACAATTAAAATTTTAAGCTGTTTTAAATAAAAAAAAAACAAAAATTTATTCCGCACACATTTTTGAGTATAAAACAGTTGTGAAAAAAATTACACTCAATTAGAAAAAAAGTTATTTAATAATTAATTATTTATTTAAATAATAATAATTATTATTATTTGTTATAAAGAATATTCTATTTGAATGCTAATCGCGCATTTTTTTCAATAAAAATATTAATTATTACAATTAAAAAATTAAATTATTACATAGATAATTAAATAATAATTTATGCATTAACTTTTTCCAATTGAATGTCATTATTTTCTCAACGGTTTTATACTCACAATCAGAAATATATGCATAAAAATTGATAAATAAATCAATTAATAAGGGCATTTAAAAAACTAATAACAGTATTTTTAGAACAAAAATTATTTTCAGATATAATTTTCTAAAATGAGAAAAATAAAAAAAATACAATATTTATAAATATAATTTAATTTATAATTAATTTATAATAGGGGAATATACTCAGGGTTGGACACTGTTTTGAAATTTGTTTAATAATTTTTTAAAAAAATATAAATTTAGTCAATTGAGTTATATTGTTAGAAAGATGTAAAAAATGATGTAAAGATGTAAAAAAATCTCGTCAGAGTTGGACACTTTGTGAAAATCGAAGCGAATTATGGGTAAAAAAAGCAAAATAACATTTATAACGTTACTGAAAACATTTTTCATGTTTATTTTTTTATTTTTACATTATTATTATTTATAATTGACAATTAATATTATTTATAACGTTACTAAAAACTATTTTTAAGTTCATTTTTAACGTTATCATTATTTTTCTAATATCTTTGTTAGAATATGTGCTGTGTGTGTGTGCGTCAATGTTTATTTGTATATTTTATTTATAAATTGTGTCAAATTCATAATTAACAAAATGTCCAACCCTAATTGTAAGTAGAAGTAGCATTTTCGAATTGTGCTAACCATAAACAGACATGTTTCACGATTCTATTTTACCCTTTATTTTTTTCAATCATGAACCCCACAATACATTCAATAAACTTACCTTGCCGATTTCTTGTTTTCTTTATTCATTTTTTATGTTTAATCACATCGCTCACAAAACTTTTTTCGTTCCTACAAATGCACCGACCTCACAGCAGACGCTACTTTTGATCCTCCAAAAATGTAATGGCACAAAAAGTTAGGTTTCACTACGAGAAGCTTCGCCACGTCCGTGCATAGATGGCGCTAGTGTTCTTATTTTAAGAAAAGCGAAGTGTCCAACCCTGAGTATATTTCCCTAATATAATTTAAAATAGAATTTATAATATAATATTTATTTATATAAAATAAACCTTTTTTTTGTTTTTAAATTTTTCAATTGGAAAGTTTTTTAAATTTAAAAATACTAAGAATTTAAATTGTTTACAATTTAAGAACAATAAAACAAAAAAAATAATTTTTCTTAACATTTTCAGAAACTTATTTTAATTAAAGTAAGAATAAAAATATTTATTTAACATTAATAATATTTTTTTAATTTTACGTGATCTATTTGAGAAATTCTAACCCTAATAAATGATTACAAAAAGTGTAATTAAAATTATTTCCAAAAAAAATTATAGTTTACATACATCGAACACTGAATTTCAATTGCACCATATATGTAGTGAGTGTCGGCTCCTTGAGGAAACTTAGGTTTCACTATTATATTAACTATCCCCTATAGTGTCCTTCTAGAGAAATTTCCTGGTAGAAATTTGTTCACTGAATATTGGCTTCATTATACGTATATATATATACAGTGTAAGATAAAATATAATTTTATGGAAAAAAAGTGGTCAGCTGATAAGAAAAATTTCCCAAATATTGGTTGTTTTAAAAAATTTTATTATTTTTTTTATTTTATTTAGATTTTGAAGATAATAATTTTACACTATTCTCTTTTTGTATCAGTGAGATTTTACTGATTTTTAATTTTTTAAAAACCTTTTTTATTTTATCATAATATAATTATTGAAATAAAATCGATAAATTTTAAAAACAATTTTTTGTGAAACAGGTAAATAAATAGTTTTATTGACATTTAGTTTGTTAAAAAAAATCAAAAACCTGTGTCAGAGCAAAAAAATATGTATTCTTATCAAAATCTGACCAAAAAAAAAAATTCAAGTGATTGTTTAGTTAGTGAATCAAAATTTCTACCTGGGATTAAAAACAAAATAGCTACTTTGTCAATATAATTAAAAATTAACAAATAATTCACAAGTTAAAGTTTTACGATTTGAACACGTTTTATTATATTTTTTAAGAATGTTTTTAGAAATACCATATGTAAATAAAAATTAAATAGATATTTTTAAAAAATTTTAGATGCTCGCGAATTTTCGAGAATTAAAATCGTAGTTTTTTTTTCATTTTTCATACAATACAAATTACACAAAGAGCACACCACGAATATATCATCGCACGTGCATGCAGTGGCGCGGCGATAGCACCAAAGGGGGTTTTTTTAAAATTTTTTATACGCATTTATAGACTTTTAGACAAAATTAATTTTTTTTATACTCGAACACAAAAAAAACCTCCTAAGGAAAAAGAGGGTACCTGCAAAAATACATTGAGCTATGGCTGCGACACTGTTGTTATAAATAATATAATATATTTATTCCTATTTATTCTGTCGCTCCATCTAATCCATTTTTCATGTACAAATATCTATTATCTGTGGTTTTTTTTATTATTTATAATACATGTTTTTTTTCTTTTTCTTTATGACATTTTCATTCGTTTCTAGATTTTTCTAAGGGACATTTATTTTGTCAAATGTTCTACTAGAAACATGAGAAATTTTCGAATTAATTTAAAATTTTGGTAAAATGTTGTCTTATGTGAAAGTAATAAATTATAAAAATTTTAGATGATTTAAAAAAAAATTGTAAAAAATAGAAATTGTTTAATTTTTCACATTTTCGACTGATATTTTTCAAATCCTATAGAAAAATTTTAAGGATTTTAATTTAAATTAAAGTTTTATTTTTTATTTTTTATTAATGTATTAATATTTCTTAAGCATATTTCATGTACGTTTTAATAACAAAAAATTCACCTTTTAATTAAAAATCAAACAAAACTTTTTTAACCCCTTTCATATTTTGAAAGTAAATTTTATTTTTTGGTTTTGACCCAATTAGATTCTTTTTTTTTATTTGAAATCGGATATTTTTTCCAATAAAAAATTTGTAAAAAAAAATGATAGTGAAAAAATAATGGATTTGTGAGAAAATTGAAAAAATTAGACCAAAAATAAAAGTTGTAAATGCGGGTTCGAAAGTATTTGTTTCCAAAAATATTTTTAATTAACATATGAATTTAAAAAAAATTAAAATCCTCTAAAGTTTTGCTCTAATTTTGATTTGAAAATTCCTCTATCAATTAAAACATCAAATTATTATCAATTCCTATAGGAATTATTTAGAAAAAATAGTACACTATTTTTCCAAATAAAATTTGTTTAATAAAATATTTTAAAAATTTTTGTTATTCTCCCCGTGTGGAAAAGTGATGTGGGCCCCCAGCGGGGGCCCTTATGGATCGCCCTCATGCCATGAGGGCCGCATATGGATGATCCATAGGGGCCCCTCATGGAAACGACATGCTCATCGATGAGGGCGCCCGCATGGGCGATCCATGAGGGTGCCCCTACGGGCGCCCTTATGGGCCCTCACGTTTGCCCTCATCTTGCCCTCAAGTTTGCCATAATGTTTTTTAATCAATAATATTAATAATAAAAGTTAATTAATAATAAATAAGCTTAAGTTATGAATAAATAACATATTTATTTAATAATTATTCAATTTTAAATTAAATTCTTACTCAAATTCAATTTATTAATTAACGTTCTAATTAATTAACTGTCGGATATAATTAAAAGTAATAATAAATTAATTAATTAAAAAATTAAAAAATATTTAATTTATGCATACTATTAACGGATATTTTCATTTTTCAATTAATTCATACATAGAATTAATGATTAAACGCAAACCTGAGAAATAAATAAATCTAACGCATGGGGGGAATCGAACCTACGACCTACGGACTATGAGTCTAACGCTTTACCAACTACGCTACGTACGCTACTTCAAAACGAATGCTAACTTCTTGATGCTATTTAAACTTCAAAAATACCTAACAAAGAAAAGTGCTTAACATCATTTAGTTAAAGTTAAGATATTAAATTATATTTTCCAATCAAATGCAATTTATAAAATATAATTAATTATATGCTTTATGATTATTATCATGAATCATCTCAGGCGAATTTTCAAAAAAGTGTAAATATATTTTTATTAAAAACGCGTTTTTCGTTGTTTTTAATCATTGGAAACATTCATTTTTTGTTGATAAAAAAATATTTGATTTTTGGACTTAGAAAATTTTGCTAATCGATCATGAGGGCGATCCATGCGGGCCCCTACGGTGGCCCTCATCTATTTTGCCATAAGTGTGAGTGTTATTTTCAAAAAAGTGTAAATATATTTTTATTAAAAACGCGTTTTTCGTGGTTCTGAATCATTATAAACATTAATTTTTTGGTGATAAAAAAATATTTGATTTTTGGACTTAGAAAATTTTGCTAATCGATCATGAGGGCGATCCATGCGGGGCCCCTACGGTGCCCCTCATGGATTCGCCATATGGATCAGCCCTCATGGGCCCCCGCCGGGGGCCCCGAACTCTTGAGGGCAAGATCGTGGCTTTTTCCACACGGGTCACAGAAAAATTTATCAAAATTAAAAATTCTGATGTTAATTTTTATTAATTTTATTTTTCAAAACTATAATTTCATATTTTTTCTAATTACTAATAATGAAGTGGAGAATTTTGAAAAATAAATTTATTCTAATATTAGTTTTGCTCATCTGTGACGTCACATATGTGCTTTAAAAACTTTTTTAACAAAAAAAAATATATATTATTTTTCCATAAAATGTTTCACTAAAAGGAACTTTTAATTTCCACATATATATATATATATATGATATTAAAAGTGCACTCTTTTGTGCAGATAATTTTTTTTTCTCTCTCCCTCTCTCTAAATGGATATATAAATCACATTCATTGTTTACAGTGTTAGAATTTTTAAAATTAGAACGAAATTTATTTTGAACGCGTATACAGAGTGATTTTTATGACCCACTAAAATTTTTTTTTAATTCCACTTTTTTTGTTTAAAAAACGAAAAAAAATGAGATTAAAAAAAATTTAGGGGGTCATAAACATTACCCTGTATATTTATACGGAATACAATAGATTTATAAAAGAAAAGTAATTATATTTAAAATTCTAAATTATAATGCGTGTACAGTTTGAATAATAGATATACTCTATTTCAAAGCAAAAGACCGCGTCTCTCTTTTATTCAGTTTGCATAAATCTCAATTTACCAAATTGTAAATGTCGCCAAGTTCATTACTTTAAGTTCCATATATATATATGCATTTTCCGATACTTGTTTTAAATTCTAGAAACAAGCACAAATTCCATTGTACTACAACACTATTCAATTGAATATAGTTCCGGGATAGAATTTTAGACGAATAGAATTTATATAAGGCATGGAGAAAGCATGGTATTTATTACGTTATATAATATACTGAAAAAGTTTTACATATATATATATATTTCAATCTAATTGTTCGGTTCTTTAAATAATTCATTTAAAATATGAAATATAATTTTAATAGAATATTAATAACAAAGTCAAACAAAAAAAAGTTGAACCAGAAATCAAATTATACATTTTATCACTGAAGAAAAAGATTTTGTGTTTGCAATAAAATCATTTGATTAGACAAATTTTGATTGTCGTAACCAAATTTTGGTTGCCGTAACCATACTTTGATTGTCGTAACCAAATTTTGTTTATCGTAACTATATTTTGGTTGATGCAACTATATTTGGATTGTCGTAACCAAATTTTAGTTGTCGTAACTATATTTTGATTGTCGTAACTATATTTTGGTTGTCGTAATCAAATGTTAATTGGCTGAAACAAAGTTGAAGAGTCATCTCAACCAAATATTTGGTTTGTCAAATAAAAATATTTGGTGGAACCTTTTTTAAATTTCAACCAAAATTTGGTTACGACTACAAAATAATTTGGTAAACACAACAAAATAATTTGGTCTAATAAACCAAATGATCGTTTGTTATCGTAACCAAAATTTTGTTACGACAACCAAATAATTTAGTTCGCTCTGAGCTCGTACCTTATATGAGAACAATTAGT